TGCTTGTCTGTCGTGGGGGGGGGGGTCGGGGGGAAGGTCGGGATTAAGGGCGGGGTGTCAAACACCAACCAAGATGGAAACGCTGGCCCTGATGGCGCACGTAAATTTAGTCTCACAGAATGGGGGTCGAAGCGAACCCAGCCATGCCACCAACGACTGAGCTCGTGCCCTAGAGGCGTGTGGAAGCGCTGGCAAGACAAGAAGAAGAAGAAGAGGGTAAAGCTCCTAGCGCTTCTGGCTTTGCAATCTGAAGGGCGCCTCGGCGCCTTTTGGGTTCTGGATTGGCCTCTCGACTATCTCGAAAGTCCCACTGAGGATCCTGTCGATCTCTTGTTGGGGTGTATCTTCATCTTTCTCAACTTTGCGGCTGTCACTTGGGATTCCAGGCTCCCCGGTCGACTGCTATACTCATCTCGCACACTCGCATACACTGCGAGTGAAGGTGGGTTGCGCAATGCCCTTCGGTCTGTCTTGCTTGTCAGTCTCCATGCGCCAACAGGTCTGGCATTGGCAGTGGTGGCTTTTGTGAATGCGATTTTGGAGGACTGTGAACCCTTTGTTGACTCTTTCCCTGTCTCCTCTCTTTCGCGGGGGCGGGGGGGGTGTATAAGGAGGGGGGCATAAGGGGGGTATAAGAACTTGCAGCCAAGTGGCAATGACAACCGCCACCCGGCATGGGGCGGTCCGACATGCGCGGCGCGGCATGGCCCTCCTTTGCAGAAAAGACTGCGCTGGCAATGCCTGATGGCCACTGGAAGGCCTATACCCTCCTATACGTCCTCTACCTTCGCATCCGTTGCCATGGTGCTACAGTATCTTCTCAGATCCCATGTCCCGGGTCCTTCCAAGCACAAGGCACAGATGGCAGCACAGAATCCACAAGTTGCTTGGGCCACGAAGCCTACAACCGGAGATGCTCACATCTCGCCACGAACTGGCCATCAGACAGCAATCAGCCAGGGCAAACAGAGTCAACATGCCGAACTACCCACGCGAAGGATTCTAAAGGGCGGAGGCACACAAGAAGACGTGCTGCCGTGCTGCATGACAGCATAGCTTATGCAAAAGCTGCACTGCTGAGATCCATGCGCATCCCAAAGCCAGAGGATGGGTCCTTCTGCTTACATGTTGGTTGTCCTGCTGTGGTGCAGTTGCCCAGTTGCCGTGCTAAACAATCGCTACCTTTGTGTCTGTCTGCTCTCCCCACTGCGACCACTGCAGTCTCCCTTCACGCTCTCGCTCTTAAGACGACCCGTCTGACTTGGAAGTCCAGGTTGTGTAGGTTCGACATTTGTTGGACGTGTGGTTTCAGTTGGCACCTGCAAGCTGCAGAATCAACTCGCAATGTCCGAGGCACCTCCTCATGTTGGGCATAGCGCGGGCGAACTGACGGCACAAAGCTTGGAGCCTTGGCAGACTGGCTGTTTTTTCATTTGAACCCATTCTTGGCTCTCACCTGCCCCGTGGCAAAAGGTACAGGTACAGCAGGTGCAACGATTCATGTTGCGGGAGTCTGCTGCCCTCCCAGGTCTCAGATCCGAGCAAGTTGGCATCGGTGCATCAGTGCCTCACGGAAGGATTCTCCGCACTGTCTGCTAAGGCTGCGCTGCGAAACATCCGTATGGCCTCGGTCTTGACATCTCTTAACAAATTCCCGTTTAAGGCTAACCCCCCCCCCCTCTCCCCACCCCGATTTTACATCTGTCTTTTCCCAACCCCCCCAGAAGGGGCAAAACGTACCATTCCCCCCCCCTTCCCCCCCCCTCTCCGCACTCACAACAATTCGTTTTGCCGGCCCTAGGTTCAAACCTGACTTTTCCCGAAAGCATCGCGAAGGGTTCTTCCGTGCGGAGCCCCCTGACACAACAACATAGACTGAAGTGCATAGAGTGAAGTGCATAGAGCGAAGTGCATAGAGTGAAGTGCGTAGAGTGAAGTGCATAGAGTGAAGTGCATAGAGTGAAGTGCATAGAGCGAAGTGCATAGAGTGAAGTGCATAGAGCGAAGTGCATAGAGTGAAGCGCATAGAGCAAAGTGCATAGAGTGAAGTGCATAGAGGCAAGTGCACAGAGTGAAGTGCACAGAGTGAAGCGCATAGAGTGAAGTGCATAGAGTGAAGTGCATAGAGTGAAGTGCATAGAGTGAAGTGCATAGAGTGAAGTGCATAGAGTGAAGTGCATAGAGTGAAGTGCATAGAGTGAAGTGCATAGAGTGAAGTGCATAGAGTGAAGTGCATAGAGTGAAGTGCATAGAGTGAAGTGCATAGAGTGAAGTGCATAGAGTGAATTGCATAGAGTTTAGTAATCAGTGAATACAAATTTCTAGATTTACGTAGAATTTACTAGACCTTCGTACCCAGTCCTAGATTTCTAAATTAAAATTACTCTTTCTAAGGCGGCGGGCTGGGTTGACATCGCCAATCGGGATTGCAACCCTCTGCGGGTTTCGGCGTGGTCGCGGTGCTAAAACCGTCGTTTTTTTACGTTTCTTGATTTGCGCGGACAACCCTCTGCGGGTTTCGGCGTGGTCGCGGTGCCAAAACCGTCGTTTTTTTACGTTTCTTTGTGGCCGCGGACAACCCTCTGCGGGTGATCGCCGGGTCGCGGTGCTAAAACCGTCGTTTTTGGTACTTTTTTTCGTGGCCGCAGACAACCCTCTGCGGGTTTCGGCGTTGGCACGGTGCCAAAACCGTGGTGTTTTTGCGTTTTTTGACATACAAACGTAACCCCTCTGCGGCTTTCGGCGTTGGCGCGGTGCCGAAACCCTCGTGTTTTTGCGTTTCTTGACATGCAAACGTAACCCCTCTGCGGGTTTTCGCGTGGTCGCGGTGCTAAAACCGTAGTGTTTTTGCGTTTTTTGCGTTTGTTTTTCGACTTGTGTAGTACAGACGTAGTACACCGGGGACTTCCGTGGCTGGAAAATCGAGTTTTGTAGTACAAAACGCAGGGGACGCCCGGAGCTTCCGTGGCTGGAAAGTCGACTTTTGTAGTACAAACGTAGTACGCCACGCGGAGCTTCCGTAGCTGGAAAGTCGACTTTTGTAGTACAGACGTATAGTACGCCGGGGACGCCCGGAGCTTCCGTGGCTGGAAAGTCGACTTTTGTAGTACAAACGTAGTACGCCGCGCACACGCGGAGCTTCCGTAGCTGGAAAGTCGACTTTTGTAGCACAGACGTATAGTACGCCGGGGACGCCCGGAGCTTCCGTGGCTGGAAAGTCGACTTTTTGTAGTACTCACGTAGTACGCCGCGCACACGCGGAGCTTCCGTGGCTGGAAAGTCGACTTTTTGTAGCACAGACGTATAGTACGCCGCGGACGCCCTGGGCGTCTGAAAACACCGCAAATAGCATGGTAACGGACATCTGGCCGCCTGAAAACACCGCAAATAGCATAATAGCATGGTAACGGACATCTGGGCGCTTGAAAACACCGCAAATAGCATGGTAACGGACATCTAGGCGCTTGAAAACGCCGCAAATAGCATGGTAACGGACATCTGGGCGCATGAAAACGCCGCAAATAGCATGATAACGGACATCTGGGCGCTTGAAAACACTGCAAATAGCATGGTAACGGACATCTGGGCGCTTGAAAACACCGCAAATAGCATGGTAACGGACATCTGGGCGCTTGAAAACACTGCAAATAGCATGGTAACGGACATCTGGGCGCTTGAAAACACCGCAAATAGCATGGAAGCGGAATTCCGGACGTACTTGAAAACCTCGCAAATAGCATTCCCGCCGCGGACACCCGGAGCTTGCATGTCGAAACCCATCGCAAATAAACCATCGCAAATATCGCGGGACTCGAATTCCTCGAAACCCTTGCAAATGTCGTGGGACTCGAATTCCGGGGCCTCGAAAACCTCGCAAATATTGGGACTCGAATTCCTCGAAACCCTTGCAAATGTCGTGGGACTCGAATTCCGGGGCCTCGAAAACCTCGCAAATATCGTGGTTCCAAAACCATCGCAAATACCCTGGTCCCCGAATTCGCTGGTTCCAAAACCATCGCAAATACCATGGTCCCCGAATTCGCTGTTTCCAAAAGCATCGCAAATACCATGGTCCCCGAAATCGCTGTTTCCAAAACCATCGCAAAAACCATGGTCCCCGAATTCGCTGGTTCCAAAAACCATCGCGAAAACCATGGTCCCCGAATTCGCTGGTTCAAAAAGCATCGCAAGTATACCATGGTCCCCGAATTCGCTGGTTCCAAAACCATCGCAAATCAGACAAGTGCAGTGTACAAGTGACTATGCAACCATGTAAGTGCATACATTTGTCCAAGTGCATACAGTTCGATTACAAAGAGTCAACTGCATGGAGTCAACGCACGGCAAATCGATGCTTTCGGGCCATCCCTCTTCTAGTTTTTTGGGGGGGGGACAAGGAAGCGAAGAGCTGTTTTCAGTATAGATCTCACGTTGTTCACAACTTGGGTCAAAGACAACAGGTCCGCCTGTGCTGCGCCATGACAAGGACGAAGCCGCAGTGCTTGCATCGCCTCATTCGGCATGCGCAAGAACCATGAGGCTACGCAGACTGAGCCGCAGTCTCAAGCTGCACAAACAAATTTCAAATTAAGGAGATCACCGATGGCACCTCACAATACATCTTGACAGTACCCTCTTACCTGCCGCTTTTCTGAGGCCACTTCAACAGTTCACGCCATGTCACGCCATGTCACGCCCAAGGCCTCTGCAAGAGCTACAGAGGTGCCCCAGATGGCTCCGGAAGTAAGGAGAAAAAGGAGAAAGGGCAATGGCTCGCAGCTTGGGCTGAGAAACAGCGGCCAAGTATAATCAAGCTGTTCTTTGTTAGCTACAGACGGGAACTTTGTTCGCACAACTTTCGCAAGACTTTCCCATGCTGGCACTGCATGATGGCATGTCGTACACGAGCAAGAACACATTCAACCTTCGCAGGCGCACGTGAAGCGTTTCGGGCTGCGGGCCCGTCGTCGGGCTCCTAAGGTGCACGCTACGCAGGCTTTCTACGCCAATGTAATTCGGCCCTTCGGTGTGTCCAAAAGAGCTTCTAAGCGGGGCTCGCTACCGGGCTCAGAGGTCTGCACAATCACACCCCGGACATTCAGGGCATCCAAGGCTTTCCTCGGCGGCAAGAGCATGCGTGGGTTTACATTTGTTTACGGTTGCTTGCCTTGCCTGCCGTACCTTTCCTGAGATCAACGATACACCTACGTACCATCTTCTGAATGCCGGCCCGGTGATCTGTAGAGCTGGTGGGTCTGGATGCGAGGCCCGTAGCTCCACAAGCCGGCAGCCCCCGGGAGCGACTTCCGAAGGATGCCTCATGCCCTCAGCGCGATTCGGAGACCAGTCAACCGCAAATGGCACAAGACCTGCCATTGGAAGCGATGCAAATCCTGCCCTGTGATGATCAGAAGCCAAACGCCATCTCAGGGTCTTCCCTTCTGTATTCTGCCTCGAGAAATCCTGGACCGAGCCCACATCGTACCCTGCTTTCGTCGCAGCCTCGACTGTTTCGCCCAACTCCCCCTTTCCATCCGAGCGTTGGACACAGAAAGTCGTGAGCCGCGGCTTCTTGGGACAATCAATCCCAAGCCATGTTCCCACAGGTTGAGATGGGTCCTGTGCAAGGAGCTCACAATACACCCCTTCGCCCAGGGAGACCAAGGCATTGTGAGTCCCAAAACCAAGGTGTTGTCCACCAATACACGGCCTGACACCGGTTAGGGCCTCGAAGGCATCCATCCCGGCTTCCACCGACTCAACGCACCAAACCAAGTGATCCGTGCATAACTCAGGGGCCCCAGTAGCCGCCATGGTTGCAAAAGGTACACCGGGATTCCTTCAACTCAACTTGAGCCCGATGTCCCATCACACCACATATATACATATACACACACACACACACATATACATATATATATATATATATGTCGTATGCAGCCTAGTTTTTGGCTTGGGGCTTGGGGCAACCTGCATGTGTCTCAAACGCAGTATTAGAGTTGCCAAGAAAAGCCGCTAGAAACCGTCAACAGCACAAATCATTACTGTAGACTGAAGCTGGAAGGAGAGGGATAAGTTAGCATGCTTAAGCTGCACAGTTCTAGGGAGAGGATGAACGGCAGGCTTTCTAGCTACGCGACTAGCATCAGCTTGGCATTTCGCACACAACTGACGATCAGACCTATGACCTATGACAGACTTCACACCACTCCACGCTTGGCAATGTGCATGTTTTTGTTCAAATCTGCTCTTGCCCAGTTGTGTGTGCTGCAATGCACGCCCGGTCGCTGCAAGTGCCTGCATGGTGAGGCGATGGCTGAGAACACCCTTCCAAGGCCATGGTGTCTTCACTGACCTTTGATACAGTGAGGTGCAGGGCGTGGTTCGAGTCCAGCGCGATGCTGCCTTGATACTCACAGCATGCACTTTTCAGGGTTTAATAACGGAGCAACCAAACGCATCACACATAACTAAACCTTTTGGGCGTTCTGCCGTATTTTACAGCATGCTTCACCATATTAGTAAGCGCCAGCACGTTGTGACAGCAAACGTCTATTTGCAGCTGGTCTGCTTTCTCTTCGGCATGGTTCGACTGCGCTGGACGCTGAGACCTATTAGCTCCGCCGCCACGTCGACACTCTGCAGCATTCCGCAGCCTGCGCACACACAGCACTATTTCGCTCTTTCCTGCATTACTTTGATTTCGCTTCCTTCCCTTCTGGTGCCACGTTCTCTCTTGTGTCATGAGCCCTTCACCACTTACTCACATCCAATGACCACCCTCACTCAGTCCCCCCCAACCCCCTGCCGGCTCGCCTTGGATGGGTCCGAGTCTTACAGCTCGGTTTTGGTGTGAGCTGTTGGGCTGTTGGAGATGACGAGAGCCACAGGTTGCGTGGCACCGAACTCTGCCAAGGTCTCGATCTCACCTCACACAGAACCCGGAGACCGGAGACCAGGGACTCACATGCCCAAAGCTAGACGTTTGTAGATTCAGTAGTAATTAGTTCTCAACTTCCAGCCGTCAAAGATCGTTCTAGCAATGACAAGCGGCTGCCATCCAGGTTCGCACGCTGAAGCTTGCTGTTCCGCTGTATCGATGGTCCCCCATGCTTCGCGTACTGCGTGCCAAGCTGAGTCCAGTAGACTTTGCCTGACAAAATGTCCAACGGCGGAGGCTGTTTTGTGTAAAAGGGATGGCAGACCTCTTTGTCCTAAAAAACTTGGTGAAAACGGGTTTTGTGTAAGTGTGGCGAAAAGGTTCCACTGCCCAAGCTGCGAATTGAGCATTTCCTGTGTCAGAGACACATTCTGCATTACCATTTCGTTCCGAAAACTACATCACCTCAAGATGTTCCACAATTCCACATGATGCGAGTAAACGTTGCCAGCATGTGCAACTCCAAAAGCTGCAACGTAGAAATGCTGAAAAACCTTCAGAACTTCAGAGTCCGAAAGCACAGTAAAAACAAAGAAACTGCTCCATGCTGGAGGGGGGGGTTTGGGGCACAATCTCAATCTTCACTCTTTCAACCCCAAAACCCTAAACCCCTAAAACCCTAAACACCCCCTCAAATCCTTTTGGCGACTCTGGAGGCCTTCCACGGAGTCGACCGCAATCCCCTGGGGATCCAAGAGACCCGTGCGCTGAGTGTGGGGATACTTCGGAAACTTCGGATCCGGTAGCGGTACGACCTTAGGCTGCATTGGAGCCCTTCAAACACTCCAATTCAAGAGGGGAAGGGGGGAGGAAGGGGACAGCGGTGTGGGCCGGGGAGTACTTGTGATCTGTTTGATGTTTTAAGACAAGTAAACCACAGCTGCCTTTCACTGAATATAATTCGCTGCGGCGCTATGTGGCGTCTGGAATGGTCAATAAGCCATCGCCCCTCACAACCTCTGTTGCTTGCTCCCTGAATCCCCCCTCCTCCAGACATCTTCCACACAAGGAAACCCTAAACCCTAAACCCTAAACCCTTGCTCAGCTGGAACCTGCATCTTCTAAGAGACAATAGGAGGGCACTCCTGGGAGCCCTCCAGCTGGGAACCTAACCTGGATGAGAGTACACCGGGTAGGGGAAGGGGCCCTGAATCTAATTCCCCATTTTAACCCCCCAAAACACCTTACAGAGTCCCTAGAGACCCAAGTAACCCCAACATTACCCCTAAGGTCCCTGACAATTGTCCCTCCTTTTGTCCCTTTGACTAGACAGTGCCTATAGGGCCTATGTGCTGCCTGGCCCCCTTGCACTGCGGGGTTGCTTCTCAGTGTCAGGCCGTCTTGTTGTACAGGACTTCTGTGAAAGATCCATCGGGCTGCCACCTGCGAATCTCGAAGCTGCCTGCGTCTGTCCAGTACCTTCGTGCATGCGTCCGCAGTATAGAAAAGTCACGAGCATCAGAGACCCAAATCGGAGCATGCTGTGCTGTTTTATTTGCCGGCGAAGTGCACTTGCCCACGAGAATCCAAAGCAACATGCATGGGATGCGATGCGTTGTACAGAGTGGTGACATCGGAGCCATCCAAGCGGGCACTTTGGATCCTGCACAAGGTGTCGAGCGTGCATCTGACGATCGGTGGAGCTCACGGCAGGATATTGAGTAGTTGAACTATCAATCATCCAAGCAGGAGTGCAGGACGTTTTCATTCTTGTCCTGCCAGTTTCCTCGTAGCCACATTGATCGGCCCAGTACATCCGGCCAGCCTGGCACAGGTCACTACTCTCATAAACGGCTCATGCTCAGTCCTTCCAAAAACCTATAAAAATGTATATATAAACATATTTGTTTTTCAACTAGTACATATTACATAGAATATAAACATATATAAACCTTACAGTGCCCTAAATGCCCTTCACTGTTGAGGCCTGTGAGTCCACGACTAAGCCCGCTGGCTCCTGCAAATCTCGCACCTGAAGTTGCAATTGGCCCTGACCATTTACCGAATTCGCTTTGGGGTCAGCGATCTGATGCATGATGTGCATGGGAAATACCTATTTAGCCCAGTACAACACAGCAAGTCAAGGTAAGTTGCATTTGCCACATCAGACTCCCTTGCGAAAGATTCTTCAATCCCGACGATCCATGACCCTTCGATCGAGGGGCCAGGACTTCGGCACCAGAACCATTCAGACTGCTGCGCTGGATCTGGGAGCTGCTCAACTCCTGAGATACACTGGCTCCAGCCGAGCTTCTGACTGTGATAGCAGGCCCTCAGTCTGTGCCTCATCGGCTGGAACATCACAAGACGACACTCCAAGCATTTGCAGCCCGGTCGCCGTCCAGTAAACCCTGCCCTCTGAATCTGTGGCGATTCCCTGCACATGGACGTCTGTTACGACCTCCTCTCAGGCTCGGCGTGATGGGAATGGAGGGATTCCACAACACAGTAAAACCAAGGCAGCATCCCATGCAGCACTGGCTCTCGCAGCTACTCACTGTCAGTGATAAGCATGTCAGCTGCACTGGACCTAAAATCCCACTGGACACACAGGGGCGCCTCCAGGTTTCCGCCATCCAGGTCGCACCGCATGATCCGGTCCGACTCGTCGTCAGATTCGGAGAAGTACCTTCTCTACTCAGGAAGCACAAGCAGCCTAAAAGTGCAGAAGTGAAAACGACGAGTACTGGCCCAAGCAGAGTCTGCTCAGCTCTGCTTGCATTCAAGCGGCAGCTTCTGCCTCACGTCATCTACCGCCAGGGAGTTCCTGGCTAATCGGCTGGTCTTCTCCACTGATATCCTGGCCTTCTACCCTATGCATGCCTGAAGCACTTCTTGATTCCACGCCGACCAAACCAAAGGAGGCAGCACTGGCTGCAGCCAAGCGACGGGTGGCCGAGCTTTTTTAGGAGCACTTCTCGGCCCGTCGCGTCAAGATTGGCCCGCATGAGGCAGTCCTGAGCCATTTCAAACAAGCAGGCATTGCCACTGACAGCGATAGTGAGACTACACCGGCCAACATGTAACGGCAAACACATGCATAGTTGCCTAAGCAGTGCCGTCGTTTCCGGTGCCAGCATGACACGGAGTTGCATGCCGTGCATCCGGCCAGTTCAACAGCAGGTAGAGATGACGAGCCTCCAGCTTCCAGAACCTCAGGATACGACAAAGGCAAGCGGGATCAAGTCGGCAATCCAGCCTGCATGTCATCGTCAAGCCTTTTGGTGCGGACTGGCTCTAATCATGCTAGATGACGAGTGCAGCCAGCAAGCGAGGATGTCAGCGCAGCCAGGAGCAGTCGCATGCTTGCTCACTGTTGAACTCCTGTGAGCTTGCGCGACCACCTCATGGCGCTGCTACTGCTGCTGCTGCCGCAGCTGCATGGGCAGCAACTCAGGACATTCATCGTAAATGGGAAGGCAAGGATTGTGGGTGCCCATATTTCAAGCACTGGTTTTTGTTATCAAAGCTTTATCACCAAAATTGCTCATTATTTAGACTCAAGTGGACTTGATAGCTACCAGCCATGGCAACGCGTCGTTCATCTTGCAGAGCAGCAAGCCACAAAGGTGGCTAAGATAACTTGCGAAATGTGAACCAAGTGAATGGTATCCAGTCGTAAACCCGAATTTGTGCAGGTGCTTTGCTCGCGTGTCGTGCCCATGCACCTTTTTTCTTTGACGCTGGCGTGGTCCAGAGTACGATGTCCAGCACAATCGGAGGGTTGGACACCGCAAACAAGGCATCAGCAGATGACCTAGGGGCTGCAGCACGACGTCCGTAGAAGTTGCAAGTTGCAGGACTGCTCCACGTTCGCATGGTTCGGTGAACACGAGCATGCCGGCTGCCTGACTGCGGACACATGCTGCACAACTTGGAGCCCCCGGCGCATTCACCCGCACAACCTCGGCAACAAATCATCATCACTCTCTGAGGCACTGGCAGCACACTGCTATCATTGTTTCCGCAAGAGAAATGTTCTGAGACGTCCGCACCATCGCTGCAAACCACCCCGTGACCTGAGCAGCAAGTCAAAACAACCCAGGAACCCACAAGGCAAAGCGACCCAATGAGTGCTGTGGCTCCTGACCTAGGTGATAGTGGCCGAAGACATGCACCCGCGGCCTCACCTGGTCGATTCTCTCCTGGCAAGGCCGAAGAGCGCAAATCACACATGAAGTTTTGTTGAGGGGGGTGGGGAGATGGGGGTGGTGGCGGAAGGTGTCTAAAGGAAGAAGTTTCTTGTATTCCAATTCATTCGATAGAAAGAAAAGCTTATATTCAAACATGAAGGGGAACTCTGGACATTCTTGATTGGCTGCATTCATTTTCTCAATAAATTGCCATTCTTGTTTCTTCGTTGGTTTTGCTTGATTATTCCATTGAATTATAAATTCTTCCAATATTTTATGATATTAGATGACTACGATGATTGCATCATCCTAATTAGGCCACGATGTATCTCATCTTTGCTTCCCTCTTTCTTTCTCTATCTCATCTATGTCTATTTTCTCACCCCCCCCCCCCCACAAGACGAAATACATACAACCCTTCATATTAATATTATCCCGTGCTACCTACGGACCTACGACCCGCAGTGCTACAACCATTGCTGACAGTACAATGTCTTTTCCAGACAGTGCTGTCAGTCTGGTGCTCGGCGCCCATCTACCGCGTCGACGGAACTTCAAACTGGGACGAGTAGTGACGAGTAGCCCACATGATGTTTGTGGATATGATGCACAAACATCATCATGTGTAGCCTAGGTGGTACACTAGTTGCCAAACAAAGCTTTGATGCCTTCAAAGATCTGAACAAACTCTGCAAGCCTCTGTTTGGCTTGCCCGTCCAACCGCTGTCCATTGCAGCGCACACGCTGGGCATACGGAGCATATTGGGGTTGCAAGCTGGGCTCATGGTCCCCAACAAACTGGCATGTCTTCAGCTCCTCGGCGAGTGAACTCAGCAAAGAGGACATTCGAGATTCTTGCTTGAGATCCATCTCCATCGAAAGGTCATCAAAGTCACCAATGGCCTTGAAAAGAGCCTTGGCGTGCTCCGAATCCTTCATGAAACCGGTGCAGCGACGGAAATCTTCTGGGTTGATACTGTTGCTTATGCCACTCAGCATGCAATTCCCTGGATGTGTTGTGGCACCTCTTTGCCCGCGACACTCCCGATGACTGGAGCAAAAAGCTTTCAGTGCCAAGCTGGCGGTGCCATTGCACGGGAGTTGCTCCGAGCCACTTTTCGGCTGCGAGGTCTTAACGAAGTTCCCGACATCCGAGAGTAAAGCGCGAATGAGACCAAAGTCAAACTTCAACTCTTCAAGAGCTGGAAGTTTTTCTGTGACAGGGTCATCTTGTTTGGCAACCTCAAAGTATAACGACATGAAGCGGCCCACGATTGCACGCTGCTCGTCCTTTCCGTGACCAGGTGATGCGCCTGAGGTCAACTCAGTATCCGTGTAGGTTCGCGGTTCTGTTTGGACTGCCGAAAAAAGTCTACCAAGTCCAAATCCATCCGAAACATGAGTTCATGCACACACACACACACAACCGTCACGCAACTTCGGGTCTCAGACAGAAGGTCATCGCCGAGCCTTTGCTTGACTAATTTCACACGGTTTCTGTTTATCCTGTTATTCTCCAATGCAATACGAGGAACCTCCCTCACCCAGCCATTTCAAAAGCGCTTTCACCAACGGAGACTCCATGCCTCGGAGGCGGCCGCAATCCAAAATAATCACTTGCACATTGCATAAGCCATTCATCTATGCTGGAAGATTCTGAGAGGACCATACGGTACAGTGGTGTTGGCTAGAGTCGGCCAGAGTTTCTCAATCTAGTCGGCAACTCTAAGCCTTCAACCCTAAACTCGTTGAAAGTCAGTATCGCTGCAACACATCTCGTGGCTTGGACTGGACTCATGCATATCGTTTAGGGGTTTAGGAGTAGCAGTTGTCGTCTGCGAAAAGATTACGTCACTGTCGTCTTCAATAGATTTACGTGTTTGTGTCTCTGTCTGTCTACATTAACATTTTTGGTTTTTCTTTCGGAGTTGCATCGGAATCTGGTTCCCATTATTGGGCGCTAACAATTACGCCCCAACGGGTTGCCCTTCAAATCGCGAGCCAGCGCGCATCCCCTCAAATCGTTGTCTAGATACAGCAAGCCCTACAAAACCTTTAATACTTTAGGGCATGCGTCAAAATCCTTCGTAAAATCCTCTATGAGTTAGACATGAGCCTGTTCACTCATCTTCATGTTTTGCAGAAGAAAAAGAAGGATCTAAAGGGAATATCCGGGGAGAGAGAGTGGGCAAAGGAAAGGTCTAGGCGTGCCAAGCATCCTCCTTCAAAGTTCTTCGGATCTGACAAAGCCAGGCCAAAAACAGCTTCCGGGGGCGTGCTGTCTACAATGACACGCAAGGGTGAGGAGCCACTGGCAGCCTTCAATTCCTCCATCCTGAGGACGTTCTTCAGGGAATCTCCTCCGTCACCAGGTAACCTGGATCTGGTCAATTACGTTACAAGGACCGCGCCAAAACTGAATATTGTGGTCTAACATACTATGTTGAGCACATTCTGCAGATAGCAGATTGGGCCCCGAGGATAAATGAGCGTTTCTCTCCCGAGGGAAAAACATAATTCCATAATTTCGTCACGTTCTGCCTTAACCGATCAGGAGCTCCAAAAAAAACAACATCAACATAAAATTCCAGAATCTACGACTATTACGATTATAGATGACCATCTCAACAATTCCGAGTCGCAAGCACATCAGCTCGGTGGACAGGAACTCCTTGCCCAGGAGCTGGGCCACCTCATTCCGAGCCTGCTGCTTGATGTCCAAGACGGTCATAGTGTCCATGATCCCCTGGAGTGGCACAACCCTTCCGGACAGCCCAACCTGCAGGAGCAACTCTGTTCCTTCCATCTGCCTTGAGTTGTCATCCATGGCCGTGAAGCTCCTCAAGAGGCCAGGAAGGCAGAATTGCTCTCGGCTGCTGTCCGCGCGGCCGCTAAGAGGCAGTGCTGCAACGGCAGCGTGAGGAGGTATAAATTCGAATTCTCGTGAAGCGTGAACAACAGTCTCTCCAGTCAGCCAGATTTCTACTGTACTCAGTACTCCTGTGCGATTCCCTGAACCGTGCTCACGCTATGGGGTTCTCACATCGAGTACGGGTATACATGATTGCCTCCGCACAAAGGCCTGTCTCTTGCTACAGTGTCAGGGAGCTTCAGGTTGGATTTGGAGGGGTTCGTCAAGTGGTTTGGCTGGGGCACGTATTACTAGGCCGCTCTCGGGTTTCCGCCTGCCTGCAGGCGCGCGCTGGCGCGGCCCAGTGCTCCTTCCGTGTACCGGTTAATGGGAAACCCCCATGTGCGGGTTTTTTTTGGGGGGGTTAGGGCTTGTCGCATGAAACCATGGTACTGCGTTACAGGAGCAGTAAGAGGCAACCTTCACCGGCTGGCCCGTGAGTCACAAGGATGTCCAAGCCTGAGTGCGAAGGACGAGGCAGGACGAGGCATGACGAGACAAGCACTTGAGGACTCTCGGCTGTATAGGAAGATAATACTATGATGCTAAATACTATCATTCTTTTGTACGAAAGCAATCTCAAAATATAACAGTATAACAATACAACAATATAACAAAATAACAATATAACAATATAACAATATAACAATATGACAATATAACAGTATAACAATATAACAATATAACAATATGACAATATAACAATATAACAATATAACAATATAACAATATAACAATATAACTTCACTGTATGGGCGAATCTGGACGGGGTGCCTTCAGGTATGGCAGAAACTGCTTTGGCTTCGTCGTAGCCACTTTGGCTCCTCGGCTGCTCGGGTTGACTGGGCACAAGCCTTCAATGTGTTGCCGATTTTGCTAGATGTGAAGAACATAAGCCGGGCAAAATGTAGTAAAACCAGTGAGCCCGGGAATTCTTACAAGAAAGAAGTGAACAATATTCTGAATATATTTACAGACAGATTTTTGCTCAGAGCATCTCGTACAGCCCAGCGTCTGAAAGGCATCATTCGAGCTAGCGCCGGCAGACAGTGGCCTCGGCGGCAGGGCGATCACCGACTTCCCCTCAGTAAGTTTGGGGCATTCAACCGTATGGGCTGGGGCAATTTTTAGATGGGGATCCTACGATCTGGGGGTCTTATTTTGGGGGCCCCTCATTTTTCGTAAACCCCCATATTCTGCATGCACAGGCAAGGAGTACATGGATCTCTTGGCCTTGGACGATCCATGGATCTTTAGGCCTCGGGCTCAAACATCTTTAAGCTCTTATTGTTGGAGGTGCTCTGCCCAGTATCTGTCAGCTGTCGCATCCCTTTGTAAGTTCTACCCTGTATTTCTGACTCTGGCCTGTTGCATCAGCACCAAAAGCGATGACATTCGCTGGTGTCAGACGCGGAGCCCAAATTTCACAAGCACCAAGACTCTCGCGCTGTCTTTGTGCTTTCTGGATACTGTATTTGGGGTATATAAGGGGGTACCTGGTACCCTCTTCTGAACCCTGAGCACCATCGTTCCACGACAGCATCACATCACTTTATCACATCACAGCAATACATCTATAAGTCTATAACACCCTTTGAGCGACAGATCGCAACCACTCATTGGGAGCAACTGAGAAGGAGACCAAAACTACCTGGAACCCTATGTCGTTGGAAATACCCTGAGGCTGAAGCGTTCCAGCTCCATGGACTCATCCTGGGGCCGCATTTTGTGGGGGGAAGCTTGCTGGGGACAGCCATTCATGGCGTCCTCCAGGTATCTGCACTGGGGAAGGAGATTCTTCACACCAGCTGCACGGAGATCCCGGAAAGCACCGTCCTGACGGTACTGGCACTAGTGGAGCAGGAGACTGCTTGGCCCTGCAGTAGTCACAGCCATGCCACAGGCACTGTCTCAATATATGCTTTGATGGACTATACCATGCAAACCACAAGGTGCAGCTGCTTTGAACAAGAGGTGGTTTCCGGAAGGCTTACCCAGCAAGCCACAAAAGACCTTTCCTACTGATGCAACCGTATGAGCAATACAACGTTCGACCGCCAGCAATAGGATACAGTACGTCAGTGTGTCTGAACTGGCGCTGGCCTTGGTGCACTGAGTCTCTCACATGATTCCCTGCAACCAACACGCGGTGCTTGTGCCTGATGGCGCTCTCAGACAGATGTACACATGCTCGCAGCTTGCAACATCAACACCTGAGGCACGTAAGGCCATTGCGAGAGGGTGCCGAGCCAATTGTTGAAGTCCGTAAGGGCGGATATGTCCTTTACCTGAGCATAGGTGCATACCTGACTATACCCGACCCCCCGAATCAGATGAATTGACACAAGGGGGTGATCACAGAATGCTGCCAGAAAACTGTGGCCCCGCTGCTTTCCAGGAGCACGTCACCACAATGGATGAGGATCTGCACAAGCTGGCGGGCGATAGCTTCGAAATGCTTCAAATGTATGGATGCTCACTTGTTGTGCCGCTGCTTGCTCAGCTTTGCGCAACTTAGGCTAGTGCATCTCCCAGGGGCATTGGTGCGTGCAGGCGTCGATGCTGCAGGTGCGTATCCTCGGCTGACACTCAGACAAGGTTCAGAAGTTCAGAAAGAATGGAAGAATACCATGGTTTGCTAATGTTTGTCAGGCGCAACCGTCATGTCGCATTCGTAGTTCACAGGCAGCATGCTAACCTTCAAAAGCCTCAAGAGCCTCTTTACTGTGAAGCTGCCCCCTTAGGTTCCTACATTCTTTGTGCTTCACATGGCGTCGGAGCTCGGGTGCACATGCAACACCTATGCGACTCTATCTGCTCACGGAAACCACTGGCAGAGAAGCGGCAGAGATGCACACACATCCTGGGCGGCGCAAAGGCTCTGATAGATACACCGCATGTGATGGAGATCTGCAAGCCGCATACCTGCCGAGCTGCCCACGGACTGCCCCTTGCATGCGTTGAGGCGGTGCCGGCATCCTTGGTCAGCTGCCAGTTGCTTGGAGTGGATAACACCCAATGTGCCTGCAGCATGCCCTTCAAGCTAACAGAAGCATTGTTGTTGCCGGACCCAGCAGCAACTTCGAAACTGCAGGATTCGCAGTTGTGCTACGGCACAGTAGTCGCCATACTAGGTCAGCTAGTTGGAAACAGGAGCAGCAATCGCCATCTGTTCCATCAGAAACCATTTCCATCCTTCTGCACTCTTGTGCCCATTGCTGTGACACATCCTGTCAGGTCAGCATTCGCTTCCGTGCATCTCTCATCCGAGGATGTCTCAGTTCCAGTCAAAGACCAAGGAAGCGTGGTAGAGTTCGAGCTCCAGCGACGGTCTGTGCTTTATTGGCCGGCTCCTATGACCCAGCAGTGTCTCCAGAACGTACGTTGCTTGCTAGCTTCTGCTGCTTGAAGTAAAGTGTCCGCAGGAGATGCACCATGTCGTCCCGATTCAGCAGACCTCGCCCGGAGCGCGGAATGCATGCCACCCAATGCAGACAAGCCAGTCTAACTTGCAGCATTCCAGCTATGCCTTACTCAGTAGCGCGCGAAGGCTACCCGAAGCAAAGCATTAAGTATGAGGTATAAAAACCCCGCCTGAACACAGCTCGACCCGGTGGCTGGGGTTCCGCAGGCCATTCGAACATACTGGGCTGGCTTCTGGAGATTGTACAGCACGCCTGCGCTGTGAAGTTGACTTTCGGGCTTTGAAGTTCTGCCTGGCGGTGTATGAAGGTGTAGGTGTAGGTGCTTCGAAGGCCCTCCAGAGGGTCTCCCAGGACCCCTTTCTTGCCAGCAGAGGATCATCAGTCTCTCTTCAACAGCATGCTCAAGGAAGCCAACTCCTCCTGCAATGCCTTCGGGCAAACTGAGAACGTCTGAAGAAAGGACGACAAACGACCCATTCATCATGCGCAGCATACGCTGGCCACATTGATCACTACAAATATCATTTTGCTTGAATCAACATTTACATATACTATGGCCGTGATATGAAAATGTAGTGTATCAGGTGCCTGATCACACCAAACCATGCAAATGAAAAAACCAATGAGATCAATGACCAGCTGGCTTCCTCCAGTCGAGGATGATGCGAAGACTATGACCGTGGGCCCAATGTGGGGGGAATTCGGGGGGCCCGGAGCTACGAAAGAAAAAGAACAGCTCATGCCTTCACTCTCCCCATGCAGGGCCTCGCACAACTTGCCTTCAGGAGTTCTCGCCAGGTACCTGACAGCCAGACAGCCAAGGCGCAAGGGAAACAATGACCCCAATTTATTGCTCATCCCCGCAAACATGCCAGTGGATCTTGAGACGCCTGCATGAGTCGGATGAATTTAGGTGTGATTCCCGACCGTAGTGCCCACATTATGGGCAAACTAGATCTGAATCTGCCTGCCACCGGACGTTCCCACTATTCCCAGTCCGCTTATATCGCTGGAGAGTCGCTCATGGAGGAGCTCCAAGTAAGCGCTTGCCTCAACGTCGTCCTGCTCAACCCAGCACGTGTCGCTCAGCTGCGGGTGTAGCAGTTATCATGAGAATCTGATCTGATTTGTTGGGGCTGGAGTTGCAGCGCTGCACTGGTTAAAGGTGGGCAGTAGCTGTGGCCGCGCTGCGCAAAGAACACGAACAAGTTACGTTGTGATGCCTGGGTGCCGTTCTGGAGCTGCTGCCATATCCTGGACCTTGCTGCCGTGGGCAATATCTGCGGACCCACCTCACGAAGGACAACATACAACTAGAATGAACATACGCAGCGCACCGCGGAACACTGCTCTGAAACCGGCCCCGAAACCTTTTGACCGGCGCCCTATGATCAAATCAAATGACGATCATGAAATCGGTTGCGGGAACGCCGCAGGCAGCAAGGTATGCCCACATTTACATTATGAAATTGGGGCGCGACAGGGGGAACCGGGGGGAAGGTGTCGTGCAAATGGCCCCAGGAAAATGTGCCGCCGTTGCTCAAGTGAGCCGTGAAGTGGCCGTCGGAGGCTTCCAACTCTTGTACGTGGGGGAGCGACACAGCGCTTCCACCCAGTAAAGGATTGCCCCAAGCAATGACAGAGCCATCCCGCAGCAAAGCTGCGAACGCTTGTTTTGTAGCCTCCACCTTCAGCACATCCTGAAGCCTCGCCGCCACGCTGCTGCAGTCCCCACCAGCACCAGCATCCCCCCATGTAACGACATGACCGTTGCAGAGCAGGGCAGCAAAAGCACCCATGGTGCCTCGAATGCACTTGACCTGCTGGAGCTGAGCTCGAACTGAGCTGCAGTCTCCACCAAAAGATGGGGCACCCCAGGTCTCCACCAAACCGTTCGACATCAACGCTGCAAAGGCGGAATGAGAAGATGCGATCTGAATCACATTCTTGAGGTCGGATGAAGCAGAAAGAGGTACGTGCGAACCCCAAGATACCACGGAACCATCTTCTAAAAGAGCCGTGAAGGAAGAACCCGCCGCCACTACGTCTCTTACACCGCGGAGTCGATCAGAAACCTGGCTGCTGTCCCCACCCGCAGATCGCTGGCCCCAGGAAACGGCAGTGCCATCATGCCGAATTGCTGTGAACGCACCCCGAGAAGCACATAGCCGTCGCACAGCTCTTAGCTCCTGATGGCTGTAGCCTCCCAAAGCAGGGTCGCCCCAAGTGACGACGGAACCGTTTCCCAACAAAGCTGCAAATGCGGATCTAGTGGCCACGAGCTGCTGGACATCACGCAGTTCCTCCTCCAGCTCGGAAATGTCACCGCCACAGTTGGCATCACCCTGAACCACAACAGAGCCATCACCCCGAAGAGTAGCACTTGCATGGCCGTACCAACTGTGAACTCTTTGGTCCTTTCTTGTTAGGGCAGTCAGTTGCTCTTCCTCCTGCAGACCGCAGTCAGCAAGCACAAGAGACCCAGCAAGCTGTTTCCCTGTCTGAGATATCAGGCTCATGAGGCCAGTCTGGGTGTCCAAGACCTGCCTATTCCTGAACTTCACTTGGGCACTCTCCTTTACATCTTCGACTCTCCACGTCCACCTTGCTTGTATTTGCACGGTGGTGCCGCTGAGCAATGCGATCTGCAAGGAGACCGACATGGCCAGTGTTCCCTTGCAATGCCTGCTGTATGCACCCGTGCATTTGAACCAAACGGATCCTGGTTAATTAGTTAGTCCCCTACGGCCCGTGCATGATGCAATGTATACAGTATCGTTTGTCGTGCAACACGTCGCCAATCTGCACGGCTGATCCTGGCATGCGCTCTTGAGCTCTCTCGTCTGAGGTGACAATGGAACCCTGCAACTGCAAGGACAGCCGCAAGCGCAGCCCGAAAGTTCCTCCGAGGGTCTGCGCCTTGCAGTAGAGCGAAAGATCCCGAAAGTCCGAGCAGCCAATCTATACCCTCCTTCAGCAGCCCCTGCAACCTGCTTTAACATCTTCATTGCCCCTAATGGAATTGGGGGTTTACCATACTAGGGGTTCCTTGTTGGGGCCCTTCTAAAACGGGGATCCTACTATTTGGGCTGTCTGTTTTAGGGGTCCCCTATATTTCGTAAACCCCCGAGTTGAGCCCCTGGAGCCTCTCCAGAGATGCCCTCGTCAGCTTCAGCCACGAGAGTGAGGCAAACGCCGCCTTCGCCAGGAGCGAGTGTCACTGCTTCCGGTGTGCCTCAGCCTACAACATTGATTTACACCACCCATCCTGTTCCCAGGAGTTCATCTGCAACAACTATCCACTCAACTCCCCTCCTACTTATCCTTTCAAGTCAGCCCTCCCATCATCTTTCCTCCGGCCTTTTTCCACGCTTAGTGCCTCATCCTTCAGGGCCCAGCCGTGGCCGCGAAGCGCGCGGCGCAGCTGCATCATCGCCTTCGCGGGGCAGAAAGGGGATCAAGGAAGGATGCAAAAGGCGACTCCTGCATCTCCCGCCTCGCAGGGTAGTAGAAGCACATCTATGCTACCGGTGCACAATCTTACGCTATGGACTTGCTCAATGTTTTTTTCATGCGCTGGCGCGAACTGCTGTGCACGCCTCGGGGGCGGTAGGCACGCTGGGCTGCAGCACCAAGCGTTTTGCAAACTGCGTTGAAGGGATCCATGTAGACAGCTTACCTGCGCTGCATGTGTCACAAGGCTTTGAGGAGATGACGAGCCTTGAGCTTTTTACATCACGGATAATGACATGGTGCCAATGTCCCCCCCCCCCCCAACTTAGTCCGCACGACCGCAGAGCATCTGCAATATGTACCCATCGGACAGGATTTGCGGAACATCCATCCGCAGGGAATACCTTCTGCAAGCATAATATGCATAATAAGGGTGCCACATCCTTTTGGGCAAACTCGTTGATGTGCCTCTTAAGTTGGCTCCAACATCCCATCCCCAGCCTGCTGCTATTCCTGCGATACAGACCACGTCCACCTCGCCCGGGCTGAGTGCAGAGAGTCCATCCCCAAGCCTGAAGTCAATGCCTTGGCCAGCCAAAACATCTGGGGTTTCCGAAAACAGGGGTACCCTTTTTCGGGGGGTTCCTATCATAAGGATTGTAGTATTTGGGAGTATATTCGGGGTACCCCTAGTTTGGGACATGCTCCTCTGGAAGCTCGGACACACTGAGAGCTTCAACCGAAGGACGTAAATAACAGATTTTGCTCCGCTTCATGAGAGGCGCGCTTGGACTGTTCACTTGTCAAGCTGTCTGCCATCATGCGACCTGCCGAGCTGGAACTCTGACCACGCAACTCGTTGCCTACAGTTGTTTACATTGCACTATTGCACCTTTAAGGCTCCCTGTTGATGGGCCAGCTTGGAACCTTGCAGGTCAAGTGAGCAAATCGGGCCCTGCGTGGCCCCCCCGGCCTAGTTCCAACGGCCCGGAAGCGAGGTCTGTCGCCACCACCCGCACTCCTCAAATTAAGGCGACAAGCGACATCCGCTGCAGACCAGCTAAACCATCAACCCCTTGAAGAGTCTACTGAATGAAAGGTTACACACAAAGATGGGAACAGAAGTGGAAGTGACACATGCACTGTGTATGCACTACGTTCGTTGCCATCTTCTAGGCTGGTGGACGTACGCCAGTAACCAACTTGCTTTCGGGAGGCTGGCATCTCGCTGCACAAGATGTATGGCCAAGAGAGCTTTGTAGCAGCCCACATCCGCGATGCACACCGTTTCTGACAGCACGGGTCTGGGTTTGCATGGGTTCCTGTGGCTTCGCTTGCCGTGGGGGGTTTGGACAAGCCCCTCCTTGGCCCAGCGAGTGCAAGGCGGCATCAGCCACTGGGCTCAAACGTGGAGGCAGATGAGGCAGCATGTGGCAAAGGGCTGGTCTTAGATGGTCTGAGCCTGAGCATTCCGAAGAATGGAGGTTCCGCTGCTTGAAGCGAGCGTGCACGGGGAGTTTGCTGGGCCCGAAGCAATTTACCATAGTGGCCTAGTCAAGTCTAACACAAGCGTGCGCGGCGCCTTTTCGAGCTCGCACGGTGCTATGCGTCGCCTGGCAAGGATTCTGTGGGCCGCGCTCGCCGCACGGCAAACTGAGGATTTACTTTGGACCCTGGCATGTCAAACTTTTGAGCTTCCACCACTGCCATGGCTAGGGGAGGAATGTTCTTCAGCTGTGCATGGGGAGGGGGGATCACTGAGGGCTTTGGCTTGCTGATCTGCGGTGTACCCAGCAGTGCATTGCGAGGGCGATCGAGCGCCAAGCCCAGAGGAACCAGTGCTGGCGGCCAGGGCGAAGGGCCCATCAACTGAGAATCCTTCGCATCCTTGCTTTTCTTTGGCGGCAGCTCCAGCCAGCGCTCTAAAGCAGGGTTCCGCAGCACCCGGTTCTGTGCAGCAGCCAAGACCATGTTGGAGCACATGAAAATGAAGACGCCTCAAGGCGGATGCACCCTGCATCAAGAAAGAAACAGCCCTGCCATACAACTAAGTGACTTCTTTCTTCTCCTATTTTAGAGGCAGGTGAGGTCTGCCACTGCTAATCTTTCTCTCAGAGAAACATAACGCTTTCCTAATTCAGCCAGGGAGTCCGGATGGGAATCCTGACGTAAATGGAATGAACATCAACGCAGACCCACGCATCACGTACTTCTGATACTTCTGCATTGTGTTCTGACCTAATGGGCTGTCGTCGGCCCCCGGAGCCGTGGGCACAGCCTCTGTATCTACAGACCCGAACAGCTCGGTGTTGGTGAGCATGATGGCACCTGGTGGTCCCCATAACATCAACATACAACAACTTCCTCTCAAAGTGTTGGTTGAAGGAGCCCTGGTTCATTTCTACAAGACACCTTGGGTCGAGGGTTTTAAGCAAGCACGGCTTAATCACAAGCCAGTTTCATGCCACAGCGCTGGTGAGGATGGGCAGGAGGTAGTAGGGGTCCGCAAGGGCGAGACTGTCCAGCCACAGGGGTGCCTCCATGGCAAAGCCCCGGAAGATATCCGGGTGGTTGGCCATGCCGCGCATGGCGGCGAAGGCAGTAATGTACAGTGGCATCTGGAAAAGGAAGAGATTCCAAGTGCCCTTCATCATGAAGAGCTTGCCGTGCTTCTGGGTGAAGGCTTGGACTTTTTGCTGCATTTCTTGGCCCTTGACAGGATCTCCCTCATTCTCTTTCTGTTTTGCCATGAGCTCTTCATACTGTGGCTGAATGATTGCCTTCTCCCGTGCCCCACGAATGGCAGAGATTGAGACAGGCAGTGCTATGAGGCGAATGCCGATACATGTTGCCACGATGGCAGCAAACCATGAGCAGCCGGTATAAGCGTGAATATCAATCATGAGTGTCTGGAAGAGGTCTACGGGTAGCCACGGGTGGTACTCACTAGACACGTCCGTGCCACGTGCCACAGCGGCTTCCAGGCAGCGATCCAACAGATTTCGAGACATGGAGTCCTCTGGATAGCCCGACAAGGCCAGCTGCTCCCGCACGGGGCCGGCTGACATGCAGCGCACACCAAAGCGCACATCCCGGTAGGGCAGCAGACTCCCACGTCCTGACAAACACCGCCGGGCAGAGTGCCGAAGAAGAAGGAGGCGCATAGCGATGTAAGGGCCCAGAAGGAGTGTACTGGGCGGATGCAGCGGCTATGGCGGGCTGCGGCTACGGCTTGCCATGAGCTGAGCCATGGCCTGGGACAAACACAACTATCACCTTCCAAGCCAATGGCGCGATGACATCGGATGTGAAGGAACGAAGACACAAGGCCACCCCCTCCCCCTCCCTCAGGGATATGATTCACAAAAGAACAAAGCCCCGAGCCACGTCACCTCTGTCGGTGAATTGTCCGCAGGAACTACCTTACCACACTCCAAGTGCAAGTTCAATCCTCCTGAGTCACTTGAGCTCTTGCGGACTCTCGCCTCTCGTCTAGTGCCATACCAGCATGAGCCTCGAGCCGCGTACAGCACTTGTCGTTCTGTTGCACCTGCGCCCCCCAAAATTCCAATCTGTGTGCGGACGGCTGGATGCGCTGGCAACATTGTAACACTTTCATGCAATTGGGTCCGCCACGCTGCCGTCGAAACCAAAATAGCAAAGAAAGGCGTGCACCTCAGTATGGGAACTGGATCGCTGCAAGGAAAGGCGGACTTCTAGCGCTTGCTATTTATTTGACCTGCGCAATTCACGCACAGACAGACATACATTCAAGACCACGTCTGGTCATCGCAACAATGTAAGCTTGCAATCCTGACTTGGTTGGGTCCCCCACGTCCAGCTGGCCGCAGCAGAAGCTTCCATATCAAGCCTCGCCGGCACCGAGGATGCTAGATTTCTGGAAGAGCCTTGCTTCATGGAGCTGGGGAGGCAGCGACCCAGCATCCTGAACAACAGCCAGGACGCAGTTCCTGACAGAAGGAATCTGGACATCAACCCTGCAGAGAACACAGTGTGTTCCAACCCACATCTCAGATACTTCAATTGCTGCTACTTCAGCTGCTCGTTCTGCGTCCAGAGCATCATCGCACGTCATCCGTCAAAACACGTCGAGGCTTATTTCCTGCCCTGCCGGGCCTTTGCGAACTACAGCATGTGCATGGCATGGCAGCGCTGCCTAACTTCCATCAGGTACTTGTACAAGAGTTGTACAAGCCATTGCGTTTTCAGTTCAACTTCTCAGATACAAGTTCGATGGCCTCTCTGCGTTTCTCTCAGGGCCTTCTGTAATAACATGACTGTCGCATTCAACCTGTTCTACCAGTAATTTCAAGAAGGATATGTTGAGGCGGATGTTGTCACAATCTGCAGACCCATAATGTGCACTTGTGCGTGAACTTGCTAACAGCGGCTGGCTGCAGCGACGTATTCCACATCCACCGCGTCAATCGACCAACTATGACCAACTTCCAGTGGGATATGCGGAATGTGCAGCACACATAAGGTTGTGCGAGATTTTCCTGTGCGGCCGCTCTTCCGGAGGTCTCAGGGGAGTGGCTGCCCGAGATGTGTGCAAGCTACAGCCTCGCCGAGTGGTCTTCGAGTTCGGAAGCAAAAAACAGCCCTACAGGCCTGAGGCTGCCGCTGCCACACAAAGTGAGTTTTGCCCCATCCATGCGCCACGCTTGGCCGGGCGGAAGGCCAAAGAGAGGCACTGCTCTTGCGTCTTACGGGCAGAGCGGGTGCACTAGACTTACTAGACAGCCGAAACATCAAAGCGGAGGGCGCGCATTGTTGAAATGCATTGCAGCCCAGTGTTGTAACAAGTACACTTCCAAGTGGATGCACGCGGCTGGCGACACAAAGCCGATTTGTCATCTCCGGGCGTTAACACTCCAAGTCGGGACTGTCGCTCAGTCTTTTCTGGCCTGGACAAATCACAGCTTGTGCACGTGCATTTGTTCCCTAAACATCAGGCCGTAGCCATGAGGTGGACTCCCCTCCCTCCCTCGAACTGAAAAAAAGATTAGGCCGCAGGCGTTTCCAAGACAGCCGGTGCCGATGGGAAAGAGCCTGCCACAGCAGCGCCTGACAAACTCCCTTTCTCAGGGAAACTGAAATATTGGGCCTAAAAGCTAGCGGGAGACACACAAGAGCACAAAGTTACCCCGCCCCCCCCCCCCCCACCCCAATCACACGACATGAGCCCATACTGTATCTCATATTTGTACATGAGAGTCAATTTTAGGGGTCAGGTTCCGGTACAGTGCCTCTGGCCTAGAAGCTTGCCACGCCACATCTTCTTTTAGGGGTTCCTCGCTCACTCTCGCACACGGCTGGCAAGGCTTCCGAGGGCCACTATCTCGACTGCAGGTCTCAATGCGAGCTGCATCTATTGGGGGGGATTAGGGCTTGCCACCCCATGCGAGAAGGTTCATAGGGATGGGGTTTGCCATCATCAGGCGCAGACGTGCACTTACGAGGTCCCGCCCGAAAAGCTGCCCAAACCTGCGCGAGGTCGACGTGGCGGAGTTCTCGGCCTGGGCAAAGGCGATGAATCTCGAAAGCTTTTTCGATCTTTTTCGCAGAAGTGCAGAATGCCCCAGCATGCCCCAACACAACAGCTAGGTTAGTGCCAGCATCAGGAGAGCCATTTCTCTCGCCGCAGCTCTAAGCAATGCCGGCAAGCTGGACACCATCCCACTGTGATCCCCACGGCGACCATTCACGGATGTCTTCCATCTGTGCTGTGTTTCCTTTGTCAAGGGGACGGAGCTCCACAAGACATGTGTGTGATCCTGCAGAATGACCGGAGATTCTCGTATCATCTGAAGTGGTTTCCTTCCGCTCCCGTGAGGAACAAAGCCACTGCGCCTGGGGCACTGCCAGCGGAGCTGAGCATGGAGATCGACCTGCCAGGGCTTCTGTTTCACATTCCAGAATCTTTGGGGCGCTTTGAACTAGGAAAGCTGGCATGTGACCAATGTTTTCAAATGGCAGGGCAGACGCTGAAGTCGGGGCCGCAGGCTCCTGGACAGTCATCAGGTCCTCCAAGCCCGGCGCCATAGACACACCAGAACAATCGAGTCGTGGGTCCCAGGCTTTGTGTGTAGTAGCTACACTGGAAGTATGCAGGAGGACCTATGGTTATGGCAAGGCAGCATTAAACCATTTGTGAAGATATTCACGAATGCTGCCCAAACAGGAGGGCCTCTGAGGAAAAGAGGTCAGGTCGGCGACGCTTGACCTGTGCAGCTGAGGAGTGGGAACGCACTCAAAAGGACGGCACCATAAAACATGCAAGCTGTCAGGCGCTGTTCGCTCACTAAAGCACGTGAACTCACCTGCAGTTGTCCCCTTTTTACTTGGCTGCAGAAAGGGGAAGCATGCCTCAGCCAGGTGTCCATGCGAGGGTTCAAGACCCTTTGCAAGACTGGCGCTGATGTTCTTGTGGTCGTCTCGAATATTCTTGTCAGTGCAGCTGCCTCGCATGAGCTTCGACGTGGCAGGTGCCACCACCCTTGTTTTAAGGTTCGGATTGACGCTCTGGCTAGTCCCCAAAAAGGAATCGAGTGGCCTGCTGGCCATGTGCCGCAAGAAATGGCTGCAAAGAGTGAATCAGGCCTGTCTCGACCAACGTTATCTGTTGCATTCCAGAATCTTCCAAATGCTTGTGGAATCTGCGCCCGTACTCGAGCGTGGCTGGCATGCTCCCCACCAGAATGAGAACGGGCATGTTTTTGTTGGGGCACGCCTCAGCAGCTTTCCATGGCGAGTTCTCATCAAACATGGCTTCTGAGTTGTCGAATTGATCCCTGGCGATGAAGGCCCGGTTGCGAGTAAGCGTCTCCCAGCTGTGAAGAGCACCATCCCAACTCACGATGCCGGAAAAAAGGTCCGGCCGGCGCAGGCCAAGCAGGGCTGCCCCAAATCCACCCATGCTGAATCCTTGAATGCATCGCTTCTCGATCACCAGACCTCTTTCGGCATGGGGCATGACATCATTCATGACGCTGGTGGCCATCCGAACCTTCTTCCCATCTGCCCACATTCCAAACTTGGTGACGTCATGCGGAGCGACAATGTGAACAGACTTGCCAGCTTGTTCCAAGGCGGCGGCTGTCCAGTAGACCTCCTTCCGAACGAATGCAAAAATCTCGCCAGCACCATGCAAGTGGTACAGAATTGATGTTGATGGCCTGGGAGGTGTATACAAGAAGTACCATACTCCTTGTTCAGTCTGGTGCTCCGTAACAGATCCTTGAAGCGTTGGCTTACCACCACAGACATACGGCACCACGCCTCTCAAGATGCCTGCCATCTCAGGTGTCACAACTTCTCTGGGTAATAGGGGCTTGGCTGCGTAAGATGCGGAAGGCAGCAGCCACCCACAACTTCAAGCAACTTCTTCTCTAATTACAGCCTCTACAGTTTCTGAGTTGCCAGCACGCGGTGGTGTTGCCGGAAGGTCGAGCATGTGGCCTATCAAGAAGCACAGGATGATGGACTGAGCTTCGGGCAGCTCTGCCCCACGGCGTCTCGGGGAACAAGCTGCTCAATGCTCCGTGCTTGCTGCCGCCTCGACTGTCGTGGCCCAAGGCTTCGCCATCGAGTCTTGTCACCAATTCCCTCCTGGAGCTCGGGACTCTCAAGGGCCCGAGACGGTTGCGAAAGTAGAACCTCTGGACTCATTTGGACACCGTAAGGCCGTGACAGGATGGCAAGCATGGTGATGGCACTCATTCGGTCCGCCTCACACAGCTTGGCTACCAGTAGGGGCGAGGCGTGCCATCGCCGCATCAAGGAATCAACACGTTTCAGGCCTCTTGGGCATCAATGGCCTCCCTGAGAAGCGGCTCCAAGACCTTCAGCCGAACGGGAAAAGCGCGAGTCTCTTGGTATCGGAATTGTTGGTCAACAAACTCAGATTTGGGTTGCACAGTCTCGGAAAACCCCTAAGCTGCCGACCACTTCTGGGCCGTGCATCGATGCTTCGTTCAGGACAAGCTCCGTTCCAATGCTCTCCATCCTGGGGTTTCGATTCTCCGGTTCGGACGAAGTGATTTTGGCCGGTTCAAGAACGCAAGATGCTGCAACATGGCCCGAGGCAGCGCAGTTGCTCAGAAACTAGGGTCCCGTTTCAAGGGGCCGTTGTTGTAAGGAATTGCTCTTCATGCCAAGAATGCTAGGGGAGCAGCAGACGCCAAACATCTTGAACTAAACCCTTTTTGCAGCAGGACTCCACTAAAAACCAAACCCGAAAACATCTGGGTCCTAAACCCTAAGCCCTAAACCCTGAACCCCAGGTCTCCCAGTGGAACTCTGGGGCATCCTGCAGGAGGCGCTGCGCGCTCCGAATCTGGGCCCAATATTTCTCGTCCCCCTGGTGTCGTTGCCACAGGCCTCTGAAGCACTCGGAGACGACAGTCGGTTCAAAACGTGACTCAAGAGTAGTCGTGATCGCAAAGATGCTTCTCGACAACACCATGCACATCACGGGGCTACTCTTCCTCAAGTTGTGGATTATGCCTTAGGGGCATGTCGGGAACCTACCTGAGACGATGCACAGTCACGCGGTTCGTCTGCCATTGCCCTTGCCTCTTTTCGAACTTCCTCATCTGGTTAACCAAAGGCATAAGTTTCAGCAGCTCACTTGCAGGCTAGTGCCATTAGCCCCAAACGGGCAACGGTGAAAGCCAACAAGTTCGTGGAAAATGTGTCTGGACCATGCAAAATGCTCGCAAAACGCTCACACAAATTCTAGCACCTTGTCACCCCATCCTATGCAATCCTTATGTCGGTCAAATGTGGTCTGGATTTCCGTCATCATGCGCTGGTGGAGCTCATCGATCTGCTCGCTCGTGGGATTCTCTACCTTTGGGACTTCAATGAGCTTACCGATTGCCATGGTGATTTGAACCCGGTATGGAATGGGCAAGAACCAACGGCCCCAGTAGAGGAAAAAGGACGCCTGCAACTTGCGCGAAATGGCTTCGAGAATTCCCCAGCGGTCATACCAGCATGAGAACGCAATCGTGTTTCCAAAGGAATACACTGGAATAAGTGGGGTTCCGTTGCGCAAAGCTAGCCTGGCCAGTCCTTTGCGATCCTTCATGGCGACCAGCTCCCGGTACTTGTTGGTCCTGAAGATTCCTGCGACTCCATCGGGCAAAATGCCCACGCACTGGCCACGACCGAGGGCTTTCTGCATATCTTTTCGGTCAGCAGTAACGCAACCGTAGGCCATCAAGTAGCGCAGCCCGGGGGTCTTGAAAACAACGTTGGCAGCTGCCCCAGCAAAGGGGCAACCGAGAGCCTCATTGATGGCTGGTATGCTGAGCATGTTGGCAAAAGGCAACACGCCATGTGGTGGCCCAACGCCAATCCAGGGAATACTTCGTCGTGCGGTCTCCACGTCGTCATCGCACCACAAGATCCTGTACGAGAAGTACCTGAGAGAACAGAACTGCAGAACGCACGCCAGGCACACTGCTGTCATGTTCTCTAAGCTTAGAAGCCACCGAAGTCAGCTGCTGTACCTGGTTCCATGCTCGCAGGCCAAGAGATCCATTCGTTTTGCGGCGTTCATCTAAGTCCTATGAGTCTTCGAGGATCTCCGGGGCACATCAGACGTTCACTTTTGCATTTTCCCACCATCAGCACCCCGGAGTAGGATTCAATGAAAGTGCACTTGGCCACAAATCGTATGCTGCATGCAGGTTGTTGAGTCTGCCAAGTGGATCCAAGTGACTTGTTCATCCATTGCGTAAGCTTTGACTTCATCAGCTTGCCGGACAGCGCCGATCCAGCTTTTGGAAGAGGATGGATTGCAAGGACTGTAGCCAGGAGTAAGTAAGCGGCCTCAGGGGGCAGATTTGACCTCTGCTGGCGACACATGGTACAACTGATTGTTGATATTTGCCATGGGCGCCCTAGAATGCCGCAAGCTGTGGCTTTAACCCATGCACATGCCACGGCGTATCTGTGGGCTGCACAGGGGACACGCTAGGGACCTGGGACTTTTGCCTCGGGGGCAAATCTTTCCTAGACAGATCGGACCCACCGCCGTGGAGCCGATGAGTCCGCCTCAAGAAGCTGAGAAGCCACAAGCAGATATGTTGCCAAGAAGCCATCAAGCCTCCCTTCCTTCTCTCTTGGTCACTTAGCACAACTAAAGTAATTGGTCCTTACATGAAATTTCCTTTGTTCATCCCTTTGCTAAAGATTTTGGTTCCAAGGCTTTGAAGCAAGTGTTTTGAAACCATGCCTTTTCTCTCCACGTCCCAAGGAAGACAGCAGCCAATCCAAGAGCGAACATGAAGAGGGGCCCGCCCATGCAAACCTGCGAGCATGCCGGTCCAGAAACGGAATTTCTAGCAAGTGAATGACAAAACAAAGTTGGACTACACACAATTCGTGCTGAATTCCTTCCTTATTGTCCCAAAATGCTGCGAATTGCTTCCTCATTGCCTTCTCCATAGCTGGTTGCCTAGTTAACTAGTAGCCCACCCCACCAGCATGGCGGCCATCACCGCGAACTCCTCAGTCCAGGAAATGGCCTCAGAAAAAGTGGCACTGCTGTTAGATGCTGTGCGCATGCATTGCGAGGGGGTTCCTGTGGAGACACTGGCATGGTCAAATCAAGTCATGTGAATAAAAAACCCCGAATATGCCTGAATAAATCCTGACCCTGCAATGCAGACTCCAGCCTCAAGAAATTCCTTTCAAACACTCTGGACAAAAAAGCCTGGAGAAACCGTGAAAACTGCAAGCGGAAAAAGGAAACACGCTTAGTGTCTAAATATTGGCACTGCTGGCGCAAACCCACATCCTGCTCGACTTGCTACAGCATCTAAAGCCCGAGCTGGATCAAGACATATCAACCTGTTTGCTGCGAGGTCGCTGACGGGGTCGTAAGGCACTTCGGTGGGAAGCCCTCTGGCCCGGTGCTCTTTACGAGCTTCCTGAGATGCGGTTTTGACATGTTTGGATTTGTGGGGATTGGCCGTTTTTGATGTCCAGTGACTGGTTAAAGCTACATTCGAAGATGGTGAGGTCATGCCACAACCGCGAACGTCTCGGAACGCTTAATCGACACTCCCCAATACTTGGCAAGGATCTGTACAGCTTGTCGACGCTCCTCCATGGGCAAGTCGTAAATCTCCTCCGGGGCTCCACGAGGTGATTGTCAGCAACGAGCTAGCGTGTTCACACATGTCAGCACGGACATGCAATGCCCCCCTCGAGGAGGCAGGTACGCGCGGCGCCACACTTCTCTCGCTGACTGTTCGCACACGATATCACCCGCCCAATCCCGCCCACGTGTCTAGCGGGGGCTCGCGCAACCCATCGAGTCATGCCCCCCTCCCCCCCACCCCCTCCCCCTGTAAAACCTGCCTGGGACCCTTGCCCCTCAAACCTTCACAGAACCTTCTCCCCCTCTTTGACCCCCCTTACCTTCCTTCGGTGCGGAATTTTGCCATGGCTCTTTCACAACAAACCCGTCATCTCCACATACTGCATGCTCTGGGCCGGCCCGGCTGCCGAGGCGGCGTGCGCAAGCGTTTGCAATTACCCTCTATACTTTGCGTGTACGGAGTCAATAGGCTGAGCTGCTCCTCCGGCATGCTGAACAGCTGGAGGGCATGGTAGGAACTGGGTCCTAGGCTGAGGCTCGGTTTTTGCCTCGCAGCTCTGACCGAAGCTCTGGCAACTGGCAAAAAGAAGCACCGGCTGCCAGTCAAAACAAGCCTAGGGAGCCAGCCGCTAGACGGCAAAGGGTAATTACGTGGTAGCATGTGGTATACATGCCAGTCTCTTCTACAGTCTACAATGTGCTGACATGTCGGACTGATGCTTCTTAGATGCAACGATGCAAACTCTCACAACCTCGAGCTGTTGGCGCATGCTACTGCTGGACAGACGTGCAACAAGCAATGCGCGGACTCTCTGCCTGCCATATCGCCGAATTACTTCTCGCCATGGAGCCCGGCAAGCTTTGAGACGGTAAGAACTCTCTTAACTCAGTGGAGGTGAGAATCTTGAGCTTTGACCCTGGCCGACGAAGGAGTTTTCGCCCATGGCTGCCAAGCGCTGCTAAGTGCAGAGCAGGCCGCTGGACCTATATGCTAAGCCGACAAGGCTGCGAATGCGGGTTCAAGAAGCACTGCAAATCTGCCGGAGCATTCCAGTCTGGGAGTGCTTTCACCTTTCAAGCTCTTTCCATCAGAATCATGGGTTTTGGGACGAGTGTCCGTCCAGGGACCATTGTGTGAAGGTGCACCTACTATATGGTGTTGAATGTAACGCTGACGGGGGCCCAGCCCAAGCTGTCAACATTGCACGCTTTAGCGGCCCGATCAGCAAACTTTCTTTGAAGGCGCTCTCCTCTCCTCCCTGGCCGCCTCCCCTCTCCCCTCTAGTATGGGTCGGTCAGGAGCTGGGGATCGGGCTGTCAGCCGCATTCACGACACCCTGCGCACATGCTCGTTGCAACTCGTGGACGGGCGAAAGATGCCGGAAGCGAAGGCGGCGCGCCTCTGAATGCTCTGCGCCGGTAGACACACCACGGAATACAGGAACTGGCATCGAGGAAGGCAGCTCTGAGCCTGCAGAAACAGAGGACATCATTGTATTAGAATAAATATTTCTACTACTATAATTACTATAAATTACTATAATTGCTAGAATTGCTAGAAATACTATCATGCATTTCCTTCATCATGACCGAGATTTACCAGTATCGGTAGTGACTCCAATTTCTGTTGGTCAATGTGTCAGTCAATGTGTCAAAGTTGGCCAACTTAAAGGTAAGTTCCCCGCATGCTCTTCGTCGAGCCTTTCTTGTGTCGACCTGACAGGAGACTCAGGGTGGGACAGGTGCGCAGATGTGTCCTCTGCCGAACGTGTCTTACGTCATTGTGAATATTCGTAAGTAACAATAGTAATGATAATAAAACTAATAATAGGAATGATGCTAATAATCGTATTAATAATAATAAAAGTAGTGAAAGTAATGAAAGTAATGAAAGCAATGAAAGTAATGAAAGTAATGAAAGTAATGAAAGTAATGATAGAAAGAATAGAAAAATAGAAATAATAGTAATAATAGTCATGATAGTAATAATAGTAATGATAGTAATGATAGTAATAATAGTAATAATAATACTAATAGTAATAATAGTAATAATAGTAATAATATAATAATAGTAATAATAGTAATATAATAGTAATAATAATAATATAATAATAGTAATAATATAATAGTCATAATAGTCAATAATAGTAATATAGTAATAATAGTAATAAGAATAATAGTAATATATAGTAATAATATAATAATAGTAATAATAGTAAATAATAGTAATAAGTAATAGTAGAATAATAGTAATAATAGTACTAATAGTAATAATATAATAAATAGTAATAATATAGTAATAATAAATATAGTAATAGTAATAATAATAATAGTTTATATTGTAAGTTGTAATAAGAGTAGTAATAGTAACTAAATCTCTTAATAACAAGATAAGGATAGTATCTATAATTTATAGCAATTTTGGAGTTAAGTAGTTGTACAATTCTAGTACTATAGCACTATAGTATTGTAGTAATTAGTGTAATTTTAGTAAGTATAGTAAGTATAGTAATATAATAACTATAGTAATTATAGTAATTATAGTAATTATAGTAATTATAATAATTATAATACTAATAATACTAATAATAATTGTAATAATTATTGTAATAATAATAACTATAAAATTATAACAATTATAATAATTATATTAATTATAATAGCTATAGTACTCATAGTAGTAGAAAGAATACTAATACGCATAATCGTAAATGCAATATAATCATGATCTTTGTGGTAAAAGCAACAATAGTAATAATAGTTGTTATTGATCATGGTGATGATAGTAGTATGGGTGTGTGTTATAATGGGGGGGGGGGGGTGGCGGGCGACAGGTATTGGGATCAGGGTATGTTTCGCGGCTATGTTTCGGTGTATGTTTCGGGGTTTCGGATATGTTTCGCGGCATCATGAGCTACTTTACCTGCAATTTCGGGGGTATGTTACGGGGTATGTTTCGTGGGTGTGCAACCCGTGTGGACCCCCCAAAAACCACAAACGCATGTATCGTAATACAATAGCCCGGGGCACATCCTGGGAGCCACTCTGCCAATTCCATTCTGCCGATGCTTTCGGAGGCAAACTTGGGAACTGACGAGCTTCTCCGTCGAGCACATGCGTTGCAGCGGCACGCGGCCTCCATTCTTTCGGACGACAGGTATATCGGAAATTTGTTAATCTGAGTTGAAAGCGGGAAGAGAGTGGCTGATGCATATTAGCGCCAGTTAGAGCTATCTCTTTCTTCTCTCCCTCTGTCTCTCTCTTTTTGTAATCTCTGAATGAACTCGGTAGTGCTCTCCACAGCAAATCCGAGTCCCCATCGAGGTGGCGTGTGGGGAGCGGGTCCCACATCCATCTCCATGAGTTGCCTGGGATTTCCACAAATGGAAATTTCCGAAATTTGGGGTCCTACTATTTGGGGGTTTGTAATGGGGGTCCCTGATTTTCGTAAACCGCCAAATCAGTGGAATGTAACTCCGAGACTCACTGGCCTGGCGCAGCACGCCAATTTAGGCAAAGCCTTCCTCGCGTTGGCTCATCAGTCGCTGCTTGGGCCCCGTAGCTGCCACAGCTGCTATACACGGCAACTGATGGTGCGCTACTCCGGCCCAGTCGACTCCTCATGCTTGTGGACCTACTATGCTGGCAGCACTGGCTCAAGCTCTGTTTCCCTTTTTGTCACGTGCAGCAGCAGCGCCTGTACATGCCTAGCCAAGTCTCAGCTTATATGGCTAAGCGACCTCGCTCAGTTGAACCAGCACAGTGTAGATGCACACATACGCCATACCATCCTGTGCGCCGTGGCTTACATACACGGTCAACGTGCTCACAAGCCATGTCGTTGTTGAATCGCCGGGGGAATGTGGAACATCTGTCCGTGTCGTTCATGGAGGCACAGGATTCCAAGCCGAGCGCTTCAACTCGGCTTGTGGTGCCCATGCCGGCAGTGAGTTCACTGAACATCTTGGTAAGCTCCGCAAATGCCTCGTCGTCCCTTGCTGTCTGGTGGGTCCATGTGCTGTTCCAATACCCAGCAAGAAGTTGATGCTTCTGCGACCTTGCAGCAAGATAGGCTGCCTCGCCTGCTCGTGGTGGTGTTGCTGCAGCTTCCGCCGTTGGGAAATGAGATGGGAACCATACAACCCGATCATCACCCACGGGACAGATGACTTTGGATGGGATGTCCCTGGCTGTTTAGAGCACAGTCACCGCCGCAGTCCAACTTCTCAAGTCCCCAAGAAGGATGCTGAAAGGCTGAAAGCGCCACGACTTGATTTCCACCAGACAGCTGTGAGCTGGTTCACTTGGTGATCTCTGCAGACAAAGCGTATCCCCTGATCCACTGGTCACGAAGCATTTCTAGCAACCATGCATCCACTTCGCCCCACTTCAGATTTTCTCGACCAAACCAGCCGGTCACGATCGATACCTACAGACTCACAAGCAATCTCCATGACATGTGAGCAAGCTAAGCACAGGCCTCAGAGATGAGTGGGGCCCCTCCATTGGGAAAAATGTCGATGCGTATGAAGTCGGCACCCAAAGCCTGGTGCAAGTCCCGCTTCAATCACACAGAGCACGGGCCGTACATTAGTCAAGTTTCTCTTATATAGAAAGCGCGAGAGATCACGTCTCTTGCCAGCGCATAATGCGCTCTAAGTGACACAAATATGAGCGCGACGTTTGCTTGCGAAAGATAATAGTAGTGATAGCAATAGTACCAATAATAGTAACAGTAGTAGTAGCAGTAGTAGTAGTAGCAGTAGTAGTAGTAGCAGTAGTAGTAGTAGCAGTAGCAGTAGCAGTAGCAGTAGTAGTCGTAGTAGTAGTAGTAGCAGTAGTAGTGCTAATATGGCAAGTATGGAATAAGGATTGCTGGGACCTAAAGCTTGTGAGGTTGGACCCTCACCTCTTTGTGTTGGTGCTCATTGAAGCTCTGGTACCCAGAACATCCACATCCAAAAAATATACACACAAATGTACGTATCTGTATCCTGTATAGGCTTTGGCATGCCATTTTTTAGTTGAAGGGGCCTGTACTCCACTTTCCACACTTCTACATTCGATGGGCCGTCACATAATGCATTCCTCATTCCACAACTAAGTTCACATTTGTGAGGGAAAAAGACGAATGGGGTGCATCTTCGGAAGTCGGACAGGTATCTATAAAATAGTGTCAAAATGCGTGTCTTGTCTGCATTTTACGGGCCTGTATTGCGTCTTACTCTCTCTAGAAATAATAAGAAGTCCGGGGCCTTCGCGGCCTTCTCTGCCAGCGCAGTCACAGCTGACCGCAGAGCCAGGCCCCAAGGCAATCCCGTTCGGAAGGCGCCCCCAGCCTGTATCAAGGGAACCAAACGTGGAAGCAAGTGGAAGCAAGAGTTATATTACAATGCAACTCTGTGTTGCTGGTATGAACAGAATGGTTACTGTGTTTCAAGTGATTGCCGCAGTCAAGATTTCCGGATGTTACAGGCTGTGCAAACAAGATGCAAAAACCTCGGCAATCAACAAGCACCGCGAAGAACAACAGACACATCGCAGCAGCTGTGTGATCTTTATGCCATTGCTGAAGCGCTAGAATGAGTGTTTGCGCCAGCTCTATACGCAGTATCGCAAGTGCATCGATTGGGCCTCAATGTGCTTCTGGGCTTTCATGGGCCGTGCAAAGATGGGCGTGCCATCGCCTGCATCGCTTGACACACATCGGCACGCTTTCAAGGCATGGGAGTGGCATCACGTGGCATAACTCTTTCCTCCTTTCAGAGAAAGATGTTGGTTGAAAAGAGAGAGTTGCTGTAGAATAAGTGAAGGATGATAAGACAAAGCCTTGTAGCTCTGGGGGCGGCACTGCCGAAGTAGTTCAACCACGTGCCACCAGCTGCCATGACGCCGAAGAATAGGAGCCGCCCCCATGCCACGAAACAAAAGGCCTGACACGGCCATCCATACATGTTCATCCGAACAGTCACAGCTTTGCCTCAATTATACACTTGCATGAGCTATGGATGCCATGCAAGCTGCTTGCTGACGTGCCACCAGAAGGTTGAATACTGCGCCCCGTACTTTCTGCAGCTTAACAACTTACAAAAGCCTCGTCCGGGAGGAGCCCACTTCGGCCGTCCCAGGTCTCGGCAAGCCTGAGACCATGACGTGGCAGTGTGATGCAGTGTGGCACCGAAGCCCCGCCACAGGACAAGTCAGTGAACCCGAACTCCCACGCTTTAGGGTCCGTGCATTTCCACCAGGAGGCCTTGCTTTACTTTGTCGTCAGCTACGGGCGCATTGGTGACGCACCGCGTTTCACCTGAGCTCTCGGGCGACCTCTCAGCATAAGGAAAACGGCAGCTACCTCGATGCGGCCGCAATTATCGCAAATCGACTTTGTCAAGGGTGAAAAAAAACAACTCAGCCACCAGCAGCGATACATGTACACCCACATACTATTTTCATTTATTTTCCAGCCGAACGGCAGTCCGCAGCGCCGGTGCAGTCCTCCCAGCAGCGTGGTGCTGAGGGCTGGTCCTGACCAGCAATGCACGGCTGAGTTCTGTCTCTCCCTCATGCTGGTGATCAGCATTGGTGAGGACAACACACGTGCAGAACAAAGAAAGGCAACCACTCCGTCAAACGAGGGGCTCCAAGGCTGTAGCTTTTTTGCACAGTCTGCCCTCTTCAACGATCCTCAAACTTTGAAGCAAAAACCGCGTCAGCAGCTGTCTGTCCAACCTCGCGCTCGAAGGCCTGCATTGCCCAATTCGCCACTTGCTCATCATCCATATACCGGCCGGTAAGGAGGTCCCTGCCGATGAAAGTTCAGCGCACGTGCACATGCGCCACATCTCCAAACATGCTGAGGGTGCTGGCAGCGACCCCAACTTGAGAAAGCTGCATGGGGCTACGAAAGCTAGTGGCGCGAAGGAGGGATGGTCGAGGACGGCTTGAGGCAGGAGTGAATCCGGGTGCGGTAGACTGAGCGCTGTGAAGCTCGGGGTACTTGCGGAAAGCGGGCAAACAGCGAATTATTTTGAAGGCCGGGGTGGGGGCTTGTGGGCTGGACCGCTTGGACTGATCTGTTCGATCCATCTGCAAATTTTGAGGGCATGGAACTCAGCCCCATGCGAAAGCCTATGACCGATGATATCAACATTTCAAGATCTACTGCAATGCATGGCGTATCCTGGTGTCCTCAAAAAGCAACCCCCCCCCCCCCCACCGCTTGCATCTGGCCTTCCATGTGACATCAGGAGCACCCCCAGTCCTGAGACCCGGAGCCATGGATGGCACGCTTGCTCACATGTGTCTATGAGACAAAAGTCATACAAAAGGCATACAATAAAAACCAAATTCTGTCTTTTTCTCAGAAATCACTGCTTCGCCACATCGGTGTCAGGGGGTCTGTTGTGTGTAACTCTCCATACCCGCCTCCAACTGACAACTGCAAGACCGTTAAGACATACTTCATCGGTGTGGCCATATTCCAAGCGTCCTCCGTGATGCTTGTGCACGGCCTTGATGGCATACTGCCTGAGAGCACCTGAGATGGCACGAACCATGTCGTCGATGTTTTGTGAAAGGAGGAGATCCACTTTCAAAATCGAAATCATGACAGAAGCAGCAGAAAAGTAACAATCGCAAAGCTTCACAACGAGCATTCTTCGACTATTTCTACCAGGGGTGGCATACATTGAAAGCCCCTCAGATTTTCACTAGAAAACCTATGGGACCCCTGCTTCATCCTGTTTTGGGGGACCAGGTCATGTAAGTTAGTTGGTGCGATGGGTGGCTATGGACCATGGGCAGGGCAGTTGTGCAAAGCCGTCAAGCCCGCTCGGGTGCTTTCTCGAGCCAACAAACGACAGTCAGCCTGAGTTGCTAGGACGAATGGGACGAGCCGGAACGAAAGAAACCAAGAAAGACCTTGCAAACTTTGGGCTAGTGGTAGCGCCTCGGCTAATGGGTCGAACAGAACTTGAATTCTCCGTTATCCTCGGACAAGCGATTCTCCAGAACATCAGCACTTAAAACAATAAAACAACAATGAACAATGGATTTTCACAAGTGGTCTTCATTCAATGTTGACACAGCGACTGTAAATCGTACGGATGCGGAAGAAATCCTCGTACACCAGACAAGTGCATTCGGCAGAAAAGTGCTGAACTCGGTAAACACAGCATGTAATGCAGTCAAAGTAAGGCCTCCCCTACCGATGGGCACCTCGGCACCTTCGAAATCATAGCAGCAGTAGTTGTCGTAGCAATAGCAATGGCAGAAGAAGTAGTAGTAGTCGTCGTCGTGGTGGTGGCGGTGTCGTCACGGTACTGTCGTCGTGGCAATAATAATCAAAACACTGGTCGATACAGAGGATTGGTGCTACGGAACATGCCACCGGTAGAATATGATCAACATGTGATCTGGCTGACCGAAGCGGTCACGTAGTCGAACTCGAAGTTCGCCGGCTTTTTGAGACCAGGTGCGTAGCTGCTCCCAGGGAAGATCCGGCGTGGTGCTAGAAAACAAGGGCGACAGTGCAGGCAACTGCCTGAAGCTCCAGGTTTGGTCAGGCAAGGCGAGGCAATCGAGAATGCACAAGGCTCCCAGCTCAGCCTTAAGTGCAGACGAGCTGCAGTTCAGCCAGCCGATTCTTCAAGGCAGCCTTGTCCTGAGGTGCCCAAGATCACATTCACACTATGAATAGCCTAAACCTCGTCGAATCGCCGAAGCAACATCGGCTCGGGAGACTGCATGTTGCTGCGCTGCGGGCATTCTTTGGGGAGGCAACTTTGGGTTCAATATGCTTCAATCCAAGGCAGGCACCATCCTTCTTCTTTGAAATTGGTGGTTTCTCTTTGTGTTCACTTCAACGCTGAACCCTCTCCCCTCTGCCAAGTCAACGGAGAGTCCAGAAGCAAGGCGAGGCCCTCATGTGCCGACAGCCTCCGTAGATCAAAGAGATCCTCGAAGAGTCACTTTGCGGTGGGCTCACGCAGCAGCTTTCAGACATAGGCTCGGACATGTGCATGGGTGTGATCTAGAGACCTCACGGAGACCAAGCTGTGTCCCTGACATAAAAGCCGGCGCTGGAGGACACATCAGCACTCAGGTCGAACTCCGGAGCGAGGTTGGCCTGCTGCCGCCCACCGTCGAAAACCTGAAAACTTGCAAACTCTTGGCGAGGGCAAGCTCCAGAAACCGAAGCCCCTAAACCCTAAACCCTAAACCCTAAGCCCTTCAGAGGCCTGTCTGCTTTCGTTGCACCACATCTCCACGGTCTCCACGTGCCGATGTTCGACGAGGCTGCGTGGTTCCTTGGAACAAGCTGCATTCCAACAATGACCGTGAATACAGCCTACAGCCTCTTCCCATGGCCATGAAATAATGTTATCATAATAACAACAATAATACTCATTATAATACTAATACTAATAAAGAATGGCCTAATATGCTTTCAGCGAGTGTCGGCAGGCCACGGGAGCTCCGCCATGCCCTCGAAGCCGTCCTGTTTTTGCAACAAGGAGTCGATTCAATCGTCACATCATAGCGCTTTCTTTGCAGCAGAAGACAGACATTAACGGAAGGTGGCAATGGCAGTTCTATCGCCCTCAACCATGCAAGGGCACATGGCTTAACTACGGCACTTTGCAATCAGCAATCATTCGGCTGTCTGCAAGACCAGCGGCATCAAGCAGCGTCGGCTCAGCCGTACCTGGTAACTGGGCAGCTGCACACTGGCTAGTTCAGGTGTAGCAGTGTATCTACGACAACAGCGTGATTACACCGGCTGCAGGCAAAGACACTCACACCCACACACACAGAGATGCTCAAGATGGTCAACCAACAGGCTGAAGCATCACACCATATCACACCCTTTTCCGTGGCGCACGTCTAGCACCAGACCGCATGCCCAAGTGCAGCTCCTGGCCAAACGGACTCTACAAAGCAAGGGTGCTCTCGAGATGCGACTTCCATCCGGCAGTTCAGGGTGCCAAGTCTAGAACGCAAAAGCCGTTGCGCCTCCACCGGCATCCATTCAATGGGCATCAAGAGAGACTTTGGCCACAGGCAGGCAAAAGGCTCATCGGAGATGACAAGCCTGAGGCAAATAAAACATGCAGCAACTCATTCCAACTATCAAAGACAGAAGTGGCATGTCGGTAGCCACTTCTGCTAGCCCAGGGCTTCGGGACAGCTGTGACAGTTTCTTTGGAAGCCAGGGTGCTGAGAGTCGATACCTGGCGCCGCGCCAAAAAACTTGAGCTGCACGAAAGGGCAGTTGGGGCAAACCTGGCATCGGAGAAGCGCACGCCATGCCAAATTCATGCCTCCACTCTACTTCTACTCTAAGCTGTTCATGTCCGAGAAAAGGCTTCGAAACAAAGACGGCCGTCTGCTTGGAAGCGAGGCAGGCAGACCACCTGAAAACCGAAATTTTCAGGCCAAACCGCCAGGATTCCTTCACAAAGTAGCGCCCACACGTACTTCACGTCTCCAAACACTGAAAGCGCTAAAGCTCCTGGGTCGGGAAGCAGCCCCAACCTTCATTGTATCTTGTGCCGCCGGCATCCGCAAACGAACGCCCTAACACGAACCAACTGAAAAACTTAGTCGGTGACTCCAAGTGGCCCGGCCTGGCTCTTTGGTTCTGTGTGACTTGTGCAACTCTTGTGCATTACGTGAGGTTGTGCAGGGGAGCTTCATCCTTACGCAGCAAATGGAGACCCCGAATTTTGAGGATGTGTGGCGTGAGAACTGGTCAGCTGCTGGAGACTACGTACTAAGCGCGGAGTGCATAGAAGCTTTCATTGAGAAGCTGTCTGAGTGCGAAGCAGCAAGACCACGTGTCGCCTGATACAGTGAAGTTACAGTGCTGATAGGGTTCTAACATGCGCCAAGCTTGAGAACCAACACAGGCAGACAGCCTGCAAAGACTGAGCCGCTTATGCACTGCGTCATACTGAGGTCCCTCTTGGGCTTATAGTTATTATAGCTGCTTGACTACACTGACTACACTGCCTTGAAGCTCAGAAGTGTGCCTTCCCGGTTCTGAGGAGCGCCAGGTTCGTGCAAAGGCAGCCACGGCCTCTGAGTACCCCCTTTAAGGTTCTGCGAGCGCTGTCGCATTCGCATGCGGGCTTCTCAAAGCCTTATTATATTGCTGAGTGCTGAGTAAGCTTTCCTGAAGCTACTTGCATCACTCTTGCATCGCTTCAAGCCAACTTTTAGGTTTCGGAGCGCGCTTCGGCTGATGCGATGGGAAATACATGGCGCCTCCTGTTGCTCCCATGGCCTGGGCCACGCAGCCGCTCGAACTCACGGACATGACGGAGCAACCCGGACGATGCATTCAGAACAATGCCGAGCACTCCGCACAAGAATGTCTGGCGTTGGGGCAGCCTCACAGCTGCCTGACCGAGTTGATCATGCTAGACGGATTGTAGGTGCAAACATGCTGAGATTAACAACCAGCAACCAAACTCATGTCTAGGGTTGCCAGCCCAAAAGATCCTTCCATTGCAGTCTCCACTTGCAATGCGCTTCGAGCAGCCGTTGAAAAATCCCAAAGCATGCAGAAGCATGTGCCCACCAAGCCTTCGAACTCCTTGCCAAGCTGCGACTTACCGGCCATGAGGCACACAGTGCCCACAAAGGCCACAAAATCGCCTGCCAACTACCACGTTGAGAACGATGACTGTTGATGCCCAGACTGGCAAGTGGGCTTGAAAAAGAATCGAAGGCAGATTCTGCCTGGCAGCACACATGTGTGTGTGTGTGACAGGGTGCCCCTCAGCGCTGAGCTGCTTGCGGAAACCAGCCATTCTCAATCCCAGGACAACCTTTCGCGCTGCACACGCCGCACTGAACATGAGAGTGCAGGTTGCTATCGCGTATGCCCCTGCCTCCTGCAGCAGCGACTGGAGCTCGCCCCTCGAAGGCTTTGCGCGCCACCACAGCAAGTCCTCCGAGAGAACAGCCACATCGTGCGAATCAGATTGTTGAGCAGACTGCTCAGAGTTGCAATCTTTGCGCGGGTGCAGGGCCAAACTTCCTGACCAATGGACTGGGCAGGGTTTAGGATCGAGGACAGCAACCGTTTTATGTTGCAAACAGGCTCCTGGCTGCCAAAGGGAAACGGCCTTGGCTGGAGGTCATCTCTCGAAGTCACTTGACTATCATATCATGAAGCAGCTGGGGCCGAGGGTCCAGCGCGAAGCTGGCACCAACAGCACTGCCTCGTATCCGATACGTGCGCTTGATGCCGGGCCTTCAGAACGTGCTGCCGGCTCACATGTGGTCCCTTCCACTGGTAGTAGGTAACGAAGCTCGGGCCAACTCCACGCATGCCATGTGGGCCATACCAATTTGCGTTGCACAAGGCGCCAAGTTGGGTCGGAACGACGCGGAGAAACTGAGAGGATGGCTCGTCACTTAACCTCAGGAGAAAGCTGCTTGAAGTGTGCATGAGCTGCATCCTGCACTGCAATACCTCTTGGCGATTTCGAGAAGCATCAGATTATTGAGGCCTGCCAGTTGAGGTAATACATTGGGCAATGGCATGCAATGGCCCATGTAAACAATACAGATGCTGGGTACATGGTCAAAGAAAGTAAGGCAGGTACATCGACTCAATCTGCAGATCCAACCTTAGGTGTAAGCATGCGATATACTACGTAGGACGGCCAATCGAAACCAAACACTGCACGCCGGTGCCAACGGTAGAGGCCCACAGCCTGGCTTCAGACAAAAAGACAAGTGGCCACTCGCTGTCTCGCAGATCCCTGGCTGACGCAGCTCCCACCTGCAGCACTTCAGCGGCAAGCATGGGAAATCACATGATCCGCATGACCCAAACTAAGCCAGTGCTGCAAGGCAAGCCTCTCGGTCACTTGGAGCTGCATGCAGTGTCACTGGCGATGCCAGGTGCACAAGGCGCGGCCTCGTGCACTTCATCCACTATCGGGGGTGGCTTGCCAGGCTCTGGCGTTCTTCCGTTCTTCCCAACTCTTCCCCATTTGGTTTGGGCCGGCATGATGTGCATTGCAACCGACTTGGAGTGGAGAAGGCGCAAATCATCTACACAGGCCCTCCCCCACGGCTGAACCCTTCAAGGTAGCCTCCTGTACTCTTAGGACTTAAGGCAAGTTCCCCGCAACTTTTTGGTGGGGGACTGAGAGGAGGCTTAAGCACTTTGGGCACCTTACGGCAAGCTCCGTAAATTTCAAACACAGTTAAAGGATGATTAGTGCTGGGATTTCCTTTAGGAACCCTCTTGGGAATTGAGGAGAATGATGTTGCAACTGTTGGGAGTTTACTGTAGCCAGAACCAAACGCAGTGGGCGCCCGGCTGCACCAAGACCTGTCGAAGGCTGGGCCTTCAACATTGAGCTGAAGAATGCTGAAGAGTCTCTCAGAGCCTATATTTTCCTTATGCCCGAAAGGCTAGAAGAAGAAGAAGAAGAAGAAGAAGAAGAAGAAGAAGCAGAAAAAATGGCGGCAGCAAGCATCAGGGGATGTCAGAAACAATCGACAAAGCAAGCCCCTGGTCTACAGACACTGGGCATCAGCACAGAGAGCACCTAAACCCTTACCCCAATAAAGGCCCTAAACCCCCCAAACCCCTAAACCACACACGAAAAGACCTTCTTGTTTTGTTTAACCCAAGCTCCGCTCCTTATGGGCCCCTTTGTTGCACCAGGCCTCTCTGACGTGCCTTCTTATAGGCCCTTTTTACGGCTAGGACTGCTGCACAGCCTGCCCTAAACCCTTTTGAGCAATGGACTCTGAGACTGCCCTAAACCCTTTTTCCAAGGGCGAAACCCTGAACCCCAAACCCTAAGCTTAAGGAAATTGAAATGCGAGTGGGGTTAAGAAATGGGGGCTGAAGCCTCCTGAAATCACATAAGGCTGAGACAAACAGGGGATCTGCTGCTACGAGGCGGGTTGTAACTTGACAGAGCGGTAACGACAAGCCGTGAGTGAGTGGGAAAAATCCCTGACGGCCGGGGCGTTTGCCAAAAATGCCGAATTGGGCAATTTTGGGCGCTTTTGGACTGTTTTGGAAATGTCACGCTCACTACCGCGTCCACATCGCCGGAAGCCTGCCTCTACTCCATAGCCCGACAGATTCTAGATTCAACAACCGAACTTCGAGCGCAGGATTCCGAACCCAAAATAGCATTTCAAAGCCGTCCCATTTGGACCCAAATGGGCCCGAATGGTTCCAATTGCTTACGCCCCCATTTCTTACTTCCCCATTAGAGTGCTCTTGATAAACCCTAAACCCTAAACCACTGAACCCCTAAAACCCCAAAACCCCTAAACCCCTAAAACCCCTAAAACCCCTAAAACCCCTAAACCCCCAAAACCCCTAAACCCCTGTGAAGCCTGAGGAGCCGGGCGAGGCAAGCCGGTGGCTCAGACGGGGGCGGTGGCGCAGCGAGAGTCGGGCGGAGCCTTGGGGATGCTACGACCCAGCCCATTGAGCCGCTAGTAAGTGTACTTGGAGGTTCATGGTGCTCCTTAACCTAGGGTTTAGGGTTTAGGGTTTAGGGTTTAGGGTTCACCAATTCTAACTGTACTTGTGACCCACTTATAAGCCCTTTAAGTGTCCTAATGTGGTGATAGTTGCGTTATGAGTACCCTCCCTCCTCATTGGTGAAGCCGGACTTGCTTGCGGCCAGACACCCCCCTTGATGATGAGGAGAAAGAAGATGCTTTAAGCCCCAGACTCATTTAACAAAAATAGAATCATAGAAAAAGACAAATACGTTTTCTATACACCCCCTGACTCGTCTTGTAATGTGGTATCCTGATTAGTGTGGGGGGGCCCCCCCCCCCAAACTAAATCCACCCCCGCAATAGTGTCACCAAAAAAAGGGACCCCCCCAAACTAATTTTCGGCCCCGGGCCCCCCCCACCGGCTCCTCTTCATTTCCTCTTCGCTCCTCTTCCCTCTCCTCTTCACTCAGCTCAGGTTGGGGATGACAATGGATGACAGCTCAGAACTCCGACTTGAAGCTGCTCTTCTTTTGCTCTTTTCTGTCATCATCTTGTTCTCTTTTTTTCTCTCTTCCGAAACCCATGCCCGAAAAACTT